GGTCCTGCAGGAGTAACCTGTAGCACACTTGGCTACAGGTTGTTTTTAAAAAGCTGTGGTTGTGCAAGTGCTAGCAAGGGAGGACACGCTCCACAGCCACGTGATGCACACAAGGCATTTTCAGAAGACACAGTTTCTGAGCTGCTCTTTGGAGAAGCCTCTTTAATCTGACTGAGAGGTCTTAGGAACTAATTACTTGAGCTAATTGCTAAATGTCCAACAAATAGTCTCCATGTGTGTGTGCGCTCCAGATTCTTCTCTGAGTCAGGGGCCAGTTCTCAGTAGAGTTATCAAGCAGCAACAGACCAGCACAACCTGAAATGTACAGGAGCTATTTAAAACAATGACACTGAGATTTGCACAAAGTATGCTTACTGCTGGGGTTCATATAGCTGTTGTGAAATATCATATCCTGTTTTGTTTTGCTTATTTGTAGGCACCCAGAGTAGCTTATAGGCACCCAGAGTAGCTTTGACAAAAAACAAGAAAAAATTGTTCTGTTAAAAATAACATTAGAAACAACCAATCATGTCAAGCCGCAGTTGCGATAGCCACCACTGCTGGCAACTGCCTCCTTAAGGAAGAATCAAGGAACCCATGGCCAGGGCCGGCGCAGGCATGAGGTAAGGTGAGCAGATTGCCTTGGGCGGCTGATCCACAGGGGCAAGCAGATCCCAATGTAGACCTTCATTTCCCCTCGTTCCTGATGCACATCTTCACTCACCCCTTCTTCCCTTTGTGGGGAGGGGGACACCATTTGTGGTTTGCCTCAGGTGCCAAAATGTTGTGGGCCCAGTCCTGCTCAAGGCAGCACCAACTTTAGGAAGGCTACAACAGAGGGGCATCCTGGGAGGGAGGGGTCTGCATCTCCCCCACAGGGCCATCAGGCAGAGTGAGGCAGTTGCCTTAGGTGTGGAATCCAAGGGGTTCTGCGATTGAGAATGACTTCCGGCAAGATGTCAGAATCTGTCACCGTTGTGACCCCAGTGAGCAAACTGCGGCAGGAGTGGCATTTTCCTGTTTTGCCTCAGGTGGTGAAACAGGACAGGCCTCCCCTGCCTGTGGTCCTCCAGATGTTATTGGATTCCAACCCACCAGCCTCAGCCAGTAGGTCAGGGATGAGTCTATTAATACCTGGTGGGCCACAAGTTCCCCACTGCTCCCATAAGGCAAACTCTTCATGTGGAGCAGATGTTATCTCCTTTTTGTGTGATTCCTGCTCTGCCTGGGATTGGACTAGATGACCCATTCGGTTCTTCCAACTCTATGATTCTATTATTTTCTCTCCCTATTTTTTTTTAATGTGTTGAGAAAATTGGGATCCTCCATTGGATCCTCTTTGATAGCATCTTTGATAATCCGTCCATGGTGTGAGTTGCCTCAGAGGAGTCTGAAGGGGAACTCTCCATAGCAGTGTTTTGAATTACAAGGAGGTCCTTTTACTTGTTGTGATGGCTCTCTTAGATACTATTAGTTACAGATAGGTAGCCGTGTTTACCTATCTGTCAAAACAGATAGTCATAGTCAAAACAAAAAAAATTCCTTCCAGTAGCACCTTAAAGACTAACTAAGTTAGTTCTTGGTATAAGCTTTCGTGGTATCTGAAGAAGTGTGCATGCACACGAAAGCTTATACCAAGAACTAACTTAGTTGGTCTTTAAGGTGCTACTGGAAGGAATTTTTTTTTGTTTAGATACTATTGTTAGAAGAGTAAAGGGAGTGAACTGACTAAAACTGAGGGGAGTCGGGGCAGGGATTGGAAATATCATTAAGAGTCCCCTACTTTTCTTCTATAAATCTAGCACTGTCCCTCTGAGGACAAGTCACTAGACTCCAACCCTGGGAAATGGCCAACTTTGGGGTGAGTTATTTTTCCTCTCTCTGTAAAGAGCCACTAAATGTTACCTGGTTAGGGTCCACATCATAGCCATGCTTGGTTCCAAGAGTTCTGCCCATGGCCAGGTTGATCACATAGCCCACAATGGCAAGTGAGAAAGCTGTGCCAATCATGTCCTTTCCACTTGCCCACCTCGGGAAGAGTAGCAGATGGAAATCTAAACATCAAAGGAACAAAATCAAGCAGACAGGATAAGAAAACAAGTAGCTGGAGATGAAAACCAATGGACCAGAGAGATGGTGGGGTGTGTGTGGTGTGTGTGGTTGTGATGTTAGAAGCAAGATTCAGTTCTGCCCAGTTTCCCCCCGAAAGGAGTAAGGCATGAGTTGGTCTTAATATATAATATGGATTCAAGCCATTTCACACAAACATAGTAATAGCCTAGAAGGCAGTCCTGTCCCCCACAAAAAAAAAAACCTTGTTTATTCCTTCAGCGCAGGAATGTTGACTATGTGCAGACCTTAGAATAGTCACGGCAGCATAGAATGAATGGTACGTTTTATACCGCAATGGTTTTATCCACTTTGCAATTATACTGTGCTTGTAATTCATTAAAGGACTGACTCATATAAATCAAGGCTTGCAGGACACTGTCCACTTTAAGCTTGCCCCTACTTTCCATTCCATTTAGAAGATGCTGAAACACATCCAGCCACTGCAAGCTCTGTTTCAACTTGTTTTCAGAAGGGCCCACAATTTTATCTATTCTTGCCTCACCTTCAACATGGCTGGTTGTTAATTCTGGAGCTGGTGGAAAGTTGGGGGGGGGAGATTGCAGCAGAGTGGAGTAAAAGAGCCTTCTCTTCTTCTTCTTTCTTTTTTTTAAAAAACCTCTTTCCGCTGCTCACCTTGCTGCAAACTCTCCAAGTTTTCTTATTTTTAGTTCTGAATCTTCCATATCATGTCTTGGCTCAGCCCTTATTCCAGATATATTCATTTTTAAAATACAGTGGGTGGGATTCAATGGATGGCCATCAGTAGGCTACCCCTGTTCTGGAAGTGAAGGAACTCTTGGAAAGAGAATAATCCAGTGCATTTGACTCACCCCATATTAATATGGCCAACAATGGGCATGTCATATTTATCAGGCATATCAAAGCTTCCAGAAATTGCAGTAGCTACAATGACCTGAAATCAAAGCATAAAAAAGGCTTTAGGCTAGCAGCACATTTTTCGGTTTCATACAAGCTAAATTTGTTAACATATTCCTTCAGCAGAGAACTGGACTCAGTTTATATAAATTTTGATGTGCATTAAGTGGGGGGAAAGCCATTGAGAGTAGTTTTCCTGTAGATAGTGAATGAATGAATGAATGTAGAAGTTAGTCCTGCATTATCATATCTACCAGCTATGTTTAAATTTGTGAGTGCATTGGACTGCTCCATTTATTGTCAGGACACTCCATGTAAAATCTCTTTTGTATCAAGAAGATAGTGGCTACAGGGTAGATCAAAGTATATAATTGAGAATTCTCAGAGTCTGGGAGAACCTCTTCTAAGAGGTCTGTCTTAGAGCTAACTGCTATAATAAAACTGATAAGTCAGAGAAAGTTTTATTCGGGCATTTTGCCATGGTTCACATGGATTCCTGTTCTCACGGCATCTCTCCTGCACATTTCAGTTTTTGAAACTTGAGTAAATTCTGCTTTTTCTGCCATCCTGTCTCCACCAATACTATTCAAAACCAGAGTAAAGTGGATGTAACACATTCCTATATTAGAACAGCAAGCTTCATTTCACACTGCTGCAATAGCAAACTTTGGAGTGATTGCAAATTGAAACCAAAGACAAGGTCTGCCCAAATCTTTGCATTTCCCACAGCTCTAATTACACAAATGCTGCCTGGGGTGAGCACGTACATTGGCCTCCTGCCGCCCTGATCACCTGAGGCATGTAAGCATCTTACTACAGCTTCCTGTCTTATCACGTTTCAATACTTTGGAATACAACTACATTTTCTGCATGGACATTTCCTGCTGTATAGTCCGAGGATGTTTTCACCCAGACTCATTGAAGCACGAGTCAAGGTTAAGCTGGCCTATCAGCACATTTTTCTTCAGTGACCTTGGCTGACCAAACACCTGAGAGCACAAGTTTGCACTTT